CACTCTTCTTGTCAGTCAGCTCGACTCACTCTCCTCACTGGATAAATGAAATCTGATCTGTGATGCGACTGTCATTTGGCACGCTGCACTGAGCAGCCGCTTTCAGTTTTTAATTGTAGTGTCTGTTCTTTTACTGAACTAAGGCAACTACAAAAAATCAAAACGACGGTGGGGGTCGGTGCCGCGGTGGGCAAGTGACGTAATACCGGTATCACCGTCAACACCGTCTATCACGGCAAGCCTAATATATATATATATAGTATATATATATATATATATATATATATATATATTTATTAACACTACAATACAGATTTATAAAAATAAAAAATCTTTTAACAAAATCTAACAAAAATTTTAATCCAATCAAAATTCAAATATTAACCAGTGCTTTTAAAATGTAATCATATTTTTACATTATTTTGGATCAAATAAATACAACCTTGGTGAGCATAATATAATTTTTTCAAAAACATTAAAATACATAATTAATTATGTATTTACAATAATTAATTTATTAAATAAAACTGACATGATACAAAATATTTCCAAGTAAAACAGACGTTTTTAAATGCTAAAAAGTAAACATAAATATAAAAATAAACAAATAATACTATATTATATATTAATTAACACTACAATATAAAAATAAATCAAAAACTTAAATCCTATTAATATTCAGGACTTTCATACCACTTCTTTTATGAATCAGATCCGCAAGTTTAATTTTCACAGTGCCCAAGACAGTGTCCTTTGAACTTGTTGTATCAGCCACTACAATGAGATAAACAAAACACACAGTACATAGTGTTTATAATGCTGGAATGGAGTGATAATACTAATAATTAACAAGTAAATATTAAAATAAAAAAGGAAAAAAAGAAAAAAAAAAAAAAAGAACCGTAACAGGAAAAATATCATTTTCAAACAGAACTAAAACTAAAATAAAATGTTAATAATAATCTGAACCACTTATGTAATATAAAAATGCTGAATCAGCAGACAAAACTTAATCTACCCTCTCATTAAATCATCTCATTACCCTCTCGTTTTTTTATATTCCTATATATATTATTTTATATTATAAAACAGATCTACACCTACACACAGCCTCAGATCTTTTGCACGATGAGATTATGTAATGAAGGGCTGCATGTTTTTGTGGAGTCATTTGTAACCTAAAGGTATCCAAACATCCTTAACAGAAGTGTGTCATGACAAAATGAAATCTCCACACATCTGTCAACCTTTCCAAGTTGGGTAACTCACTTTTGTGTGTGTCTCTGTTGTTTATGGTGAAGACAGCCACTGCCTCCTGCAGGAGTTCAGCCAGACTGATGCTCTCCCCGCTGTCTCTCTGCACCAGCAGGTTACAGCAGAACTCGGCGTGATGTTCAAACTCTGGGCAGAAACTTCTGGCCGCCACACACGTGCTTCGAACCTCGCTGTCCGGCAGGAATGACAACTGCATGGTGATGAAAGAGTTAAGCCCCACTTCAGAGTAATACTGCAGTGCGTTATCCGTATCTGCAAGAGCTCTGAGAAATAATAGAAAGATGGTACATAAAAATACAATTTACATGTATTTCTTGTACTTCATGTAAAGGCAGATCATTGTAATCATTCTAGATTGCTGTTGGGGTAATTGGTCAAAAAGCTAAAGGTAGATTTGATGCAGATTGACTCACTTGGCTGCAGCTTGCAGCCCGGCTGCTCTGTGCACCTGCACAACCAGTATCACTCTGCGGGACGGCACAACCCCACTCTTCACTCCCACACTCCTCATTGGTCGAGACTTGTATTGAACACTCACTTCAAGCAGCCCTACAGGTAAGCACAGATAAAAACAGGTTTTAATTTATTACATTTGTCTCATATTCATATTGTACTGTATATGTTATCTGTATGCAGTTTTAAGATAATTAGATATGCAACTACCAGGGGGCTGAGGCTGTGTGTCAACAGGTCGGTCGGTTCTTGGTACCAGAGGAAGGGAGAAAAGTTGTGCATCGGTTTGACCCTGTTTCTGCATGGTTACCATGGCGCACAGTTTGGACATGGGCAGCAACCCTTTGGCAACTAGCTGATCTCTAACATTTGGATAATAATACCTGCAAATGTTTCAATAGGCTTGTAAATAACTTTCCAAACAAATATTAAAAATATTACTAAAAATGAGACATGTTTTTAAATTCTCCAAATGTGAAAAATAAATGAATAGAATTAAATAATAAAAATATTACTAAATAAAAGCAAATGTTTTTAAATGCTAAAATGTAAAATAAAATAAAATAATAAAAGTATAAAAAATAAAATAAAATAATAAATGTATAAAAATAATAATATTGGCAAATAAAATATTGCTAAAATAAAATTATGCTTTAAATGTTTAAACGTAAAAAATAAATAAATGAAAATATTTCCAAATAAGAGAGACAAATAAATAAATAAAATAGTCAAAAATGCTTTTAAATGCTAAAATGTAAAAAGTAAATAAATAAAACCAAATAAAAGAGACATGTTTTAAATACTACAATGTAAATATAAATAGATAAATCAAATTAAACAAAAATATCGCCAAACTAAAGAGACACATTTTAAATGCTAAAATGTAAATAAATGAATAAACAAATATTGCAAAAAAAAAAAAAAAAAAAAACACGCTTTCACATGCTAAAATGTAAAAAAATAATAAAAAGATCAAATATTGCTTAAGAGACAGGTTTTAACTAAATAAACAGAAATATAACCAAATAAAAAGATACATTTTAAGTACTAAAAATAAAATAAACAAATAAATCAAAATCAAATTATTGCCAAATAAAAGAAATACATTTTAAATGCTAAAATGAAATAAATAAAATTCAGGACTAAACTACAATTTCTACATTTACTGTACCTGCACCAAACCTCAAACAGCACTCCTACTCCATTTTTCAGCCCCTGACTGGCCAATGAGCTTAGCAGTATTCTTTGTACTGGGACGTCAGGAGGAGCCAGTAGGACATGAGTCTCATTATGTCCAAACACAGGGTCAGGCACACAGAGAGTGGTCTCAGAGCGGTAGGCCTTGAGCTCCATATCTGTGCAACAGAAAGTTGGTTGAGCTGAATAGAAAAAAATACTTTTTGATACAGTCAGCAAGAAAACAGCTTACTGCTCTCGACAATAAGTGGGTCCGTGTCCTCTCTCGACTCATTTTGTGCAGGGAAGGAGTACTGGATGTAACAGTCAGCTTCTCCTCACACTGTGGACTGCAGAGGCGTCAGACCCTTCACTCTCTCTACTCGGACCATGAAGACATGCTCACGCAGAACATCCACAGTGGTACTGGCCTACAAGAACATTGATTCAGAAACAAATTAAGCTTCATACTTTAAGCATCAGGGCTGCTTTTGGGAGTTTTAAAGAGAACTAGCCTTGGTTTCTACATGTGGCTGGTGGTCTAACATGTGCGCTGGTCGAGGCAGTGGTGATACGTGGGTCAGCTCGTCATCCCTCATTCGCTGCAGTGCTGTGATCTGCTGTGCCAGACCCATTGCTAGACACACCCTGAGGTTTCCACGAGTGCTGCCGCTGAATACATCAACCACAGGCATATAACTGTCCACTCCAACCACTGGATACTGAGACTGCAAGAGCAGCTCTGTGATCTTGGGGTCTCTGGAGACAAAATAAAGTAAAAAAAAAAAAATTTATAAGCTTCTATGCTCCAGTGACATTTTAGTATTTTTTTTATTTACTATTATTTTATTTATTCATATTTTTAAGTTATTTAATAATTTTCACATTTCATATATTTAAGTATTTTTTAAATTTGTTTTGGTCTTTTTATTGATTTTTTTTTTATTTTTTATAAAAATATAAATATGTGACCCTGGAATATCTCGGCCAAATATTGTCCTATCCAAACAAACCATACATCAATGTAAATCTTATTTATTCAATTAAAAAAGAAATTACCCTTATGACTGGTTTTGTGGTCCAGGGTCACATATGTAGATTTAACCTATATTTATTTCCATTTTCGTAATTTTAGTCGTTCCAAATAAGTAAAACTTATTTTAAGTTCAACTTAAAACTTAAATAAGTTCAACTATATTTCAGTTAGTTGCTAAGGCAAAATTTTAAATTTTTGTTTAAGTTTTCATCTAATATTAACCACAACCCTACAGAGTATAAGTGGTTTGGAAAATGTAAGGATGGATATAATATTTAAATATTAGCTTATTTCAGATTTATTTCAATTAATAAAAACGATTTTAAATTTTTTTGATTCTTTGGTTTTATTTAATGGTAACCACATTGCTATATTTTATATAAAGTAATTCATTATATAATGTTACTATTAATATAATGTTAATATTAATATTAATATATATTCCTGCTCTTATTCTTACCATATAATATAATAATATTACATTTATAACAATAAATATTTAATTATGTATATTTCACATATTTATTTTAATAAGAAATTATAATAAATACAATATTATACTGCAACTACAAAAATACCACAAACATAATATACTACATATAAATAAAGTTTTTAATGTTATATGTATAATATAACATACACATACATACATATGTAGATAGATCAATAGACCTGCCTGAAGGACATGTAGAACTGGTGGAGAGGTAGTTTTACCAAACCAAGAAGTTTATCATGGTCCGAGTTACTGGCCCTCAAACAAACTTCAATGACCATCATGTTGTTCTTCATTCTCTCCAACAGTTTGCTGGTCAGTGTGACCGGAGCCACCTATATTATATTAGAAATTAGGTTAAAAACAAATAACAAACTACATTTTCTAATAAATAATACTGTATAGAGGGAACCCTGATGATTTCCACCACTAAGTAATATGGGTAAACTAAAGTCTTTGAACTTTCCTTGATTCTATATTTAGAAATTAGCACCAACCTGAATAAAGCCGAATGTTGGATGTTTCTGACTCCAGCTCACTGTCGATCGAGCCGTTTCATCGGATCCGAGGAGCTTACAGTTCAGAATTAAAATCTTTCCCATCGGGCACCATGAGCAACATATGAAGCAAAATCTTAGTCTCCTCCACTTCCTACTGCAGAGGCTCATGAAGACAGCTCTGGTATCTGATGGGTGGAGATGTGGATCGTGATCTGGATGGAGGTATCAGGATACTCTGGACTCGATGAACACCTGCACAAGGAGACGGGGCTCTCCTGTGGTCATTCACACATAAACCCTTTGGTACATCATGCTCTTCAGTCAAACGGGAAGAAAGAGGTCTGGTTGGACTCAGCATTCGTTTTGCAGGTCTCTTTTTGGTGGAGAAATCATTCTTGTCTGCTGCTAACTCAAACGACACCTTAAAAAAAAAGAAGAAAGAATGAATCACTTAGATCAAATAAATCTCCTAAATGTGGTTCTTATGAGTGTTACATTACCTTCAGAGGACCAAATGCCTGTTTATCAGCATCTCTATCTGGTCTTTGAACAGGAAGGGCAGCAGAAATGCTCAGTGATTCACTCTGCATCACGGAGTTCAGAGGAAACATTGCTGATCCAATGAGAACGGGCTAAACAACAAACAAGACAAGATCAGACCTCTAACAGATAAAACCATGTAGGAGCCTTTATTTTTGAGGTTTGTTTAATTTGGTGATTGGCACACACTGCACTTACTGTCTTTTGAAGGCTATTTCTGGAGTGAAGCTTGAATGTGACGTTTATCTCCCACCATTGTTTAATAGACGACCTACTGAACCTCACTGGAAACATACTTAGGTGCTGAAACGTCAACGCTGAAACAAAAATGAATCCCCAGATTATTACACTACTTCTGGTTTCTCTTAGTTCTCTTTAGTAAAAGTTCTCTAATACAAATTTACTCACCGCCCTCTGTTACTTTACTAGAGACAACTTTTGTAATCTCTGAAGGTACATGTTGAACATCTTCATACCCAGCAGAGACCAGTGGAAAGAGGTACTCAACGATATAAAAGCTAGATAAACAGGATATTTGCATCTGGTTAGTTTTAAAACATGGACACAAATCTCTAGCCACTGCTATCTATAAATATCATCTGATGTGAAATATCTTAAAAGCTGTACCATTTCTTTGTGGTGAGGGGGCAAGGTGGTCTTCCTTTTCTAGATAGACTTCTCGAAGTACTCTCAGTGGGAACTTTTAACTCACTAATGGTGACCCTGGCAAAACGAATATCTCTAAGCAAAGCTATTTTATCCACGCTAAGTCCAGAGAAATCATCTCCTGCTTCTGAATGCTGCACATCTTCTGAATCAAGCCTTCAAAAAATATAGGCAATTTACACAACAGCAGATATGAAAAATTTATTTCAAAATTAAACATATTGAATTACATTTCTGTACCTTTACACAGATGTGAAAACATTTACATTATTTATTTTTTTATCTTAAGTGAATGAGTTTTGAGCATTTCTTCTTGCATTAGTGTAACCGACCGGGCATTTTTAGTTGGTCTTGTGTGTACTGGCTTCTCTGCCGGGTCTTTCTTCTGATCGTCCACTTCCAAACATTCATCTGATATCTGAAAAAGGAATTACATTAGTTAGTTATATGTTAAAGGAAACTAAGCTACATACTTACTCTGCATGACTTACAGGAGCTTTGTAGAAGAGGTTCTCCAGAAGACTCTGATCATTTTGAGGGTCTTTGAGCTCACTGTCCATGAGCACACTACTGTGATCGGAAAGAAAATCTGGGAGAGAACCCTCTCCATCCCAGAACTGCAGCACAGATCCATTAACACTGAGGAACAGAGCCATTACAAACATTAAAGCATGTAGTTTGCAAACATAGAGAGAAAAAAAATCTACCCAGTATAAAAGTTTCCCATATTTCTGTCAAGTATTTATAAGCAAAGTTCCATTTTCTTCACTTAATCTAAACGTAACAGTAGCCTTGACTACCTTCCCAGCAGCAGATCCACAGCCATGTCCTCTGTGTTGACTCTATTCTGACTTGGTTCTTCAACGTCCTGAGCAGGATGCTGGAGTTCCGATTGAAGGATGTTCTCCAGAAACTGTCCTGAAGAGGGCCTGGCTGGCCTTTAGGAGGAAGATGATGTTTAACATAATTTATAATCATCATCATTTACCATTTTATTTTCTATTTTGGCCCTTCATAGGTATATGAATGAAATAGAAGAGTTCATACAAGGCGTCAGTGTTATCTGTGGAGAGAGGCAGGGGAATGTCCTTCAGAGGAACATCTGACTCCACATCAGATTGTAAGGCTGAAACCACCATGGCATTTCTGAGTTTGCTGCCACGCTCCAGAAGAACTGGAAAAATACAAAAAACATAAGTAATATATAATGAAACCAAGTAAGCTATATAATGGACAATAAACACTTAGTATATACATCAGGTATGCATCACTAAATAGTGTTACATGAGTGTAAAGAGTCTGGTCTTTTTGTCTACAGATTAGGCTTGCCGCAATAGACAGTGCTGACGGTGATACCGGTGTTAAGCCGCACTTGCCCACCGCGTCACCGACCCCCACCGTCGTTTTGATTTTTTGTAGTAGCCTAATAAAAATAATTTAGTTCAGTAAAAGAACAGACACTACAATTAAAAACTGAACGCGGCTGCCCAATGCAGTTGAACGACAGTTGCATCACAGATCAGATTTAATTTCTCCAGTGAGGAGAGTGAGTCGAGCTGACTGACAAGAAGAGTGAGGTGAGACAGACAAGATGATAGCGGATGATTTAGTTTCGAAACTAAATGCAAAAGCACCTGTTTGGCAATATTTTGGATTTTGAAAAGCCTGTTGACTTTTGCCGTTTATCTAAGGTGATTTTGGAAGTAAAAAAAAAAAATAAAATCTTATTTAATTGGTTCCACAATTAAATGTTTTAATGTTTTAAAAATGTTTGCTGATTTTTACTTTATTTAAACTTTGTGTGATTTATTTATTTCATTTAAACTTTATGTAAGTTATTTGTTATTTTATATTAGGCATAGCCTGCCCTATAGCATGGTGTATTTGTATTTGTTTTGTTAATAAAAGTTCTATGTTTTATATATACACTAAAGTGAGTTTGACGTTGTATTTTGTTGTTGCATTCAAGCAATTGACGCCTAACTGCCGCTAATTCGAAAGTGAAAGTAAAATACGCACGGTGCTTTTAAGCTATTTAAAAGCGAAGGAAAGCGAGGAAAAGAGGGAAAATTCAAACGAACTAAAAACGAACAATTGCTTTACTCCGAATTGCCGCTATTTGAAAGTGAAAGTATAATGTGCACACTGCTTTTACAAGCTATATAAAAGCGAAGGAAAGAGAGGAAAAGAGGGAACGCCCCCACCCCCACGGTGATACCGGTATTACCAGTGTTGTCACACGTCGATTAACCGGTGGGAAAATTTCCTCACCGTCACAACCCTACTACAGATCTGCCAACGGAACTGCCACAATGGCCACAAGCGTCTCTAACGAAAAATGTGTAATTTGTATAGTGCTGTACTGACACAATATAAGGTCTAAAACTGACAGAATTGACTGAATTTTAAAAAGAACTCAAGATCAATCAGCAGAATTTGGCAATACTCAGATGACAGACAATTATTTAATTTGACCAGTCCTTAGAAATCATCTATGACACACACTATTTCAGCCAAAATGTTGCTGTGTTCAACAGTAATGTCAATATAATGAATTCAGTAAATCAAGTTAATGAGCTTTACCTGACAAAAGGTCAACAGGTGCTTGGGTATTTGCTGAAAGAATTTGGGCAGAAGCAGGTTTAGGTTTTCCAGTAGAAGAATCTGGCATGACTTGTTCTTGAAAATACAGGTAATCCTTCCCTCTAAAACAAGAATATTAAAAAAAAAACAACAATGTTTTATTGTTGAAGTTTATTGAATTCAAATTGAAGTTTATTGAATTTTCTAAATTGGTGCCTTGGCAACTAACTGAAATCAAATAAGTTGAAGTTGAAGTACTGAGATTACTAAAACTAAAAATGAAATAGAAATACTGAGAAAATAAAAATGACATAAGCACATAACTTTACTAACATTTTAACTAAAATTAAATTGAAAACAACAATAAATGTTAATTCAAACATTAACAAATATTATTAATAAATAGTACATATTACTATTATTAAGAAAACATTAATAATATTAAAATAATAATATTAGTATGATAATAATATTAGTTAATAGATCATTAATAGAAAAAAATATATAAATATTATATAAATAATACTAACACTGGGGACGAAACTATTACCATAGAACTACTTAAAACGTTTTTAACATAAAATAATAATTTTAATAAGATTTTAAAAAGACATGTTATCCAAAATTTGTAGTCTTTTAATTTAACTTGTCCATTCATAGACGACAAGATCAGTCATAAGGATGTGTGTTGTTGCTAAAGAACAGTATGTGAGCTGAGTGATTTATTGAGAGTTTGTTCCACATTATTAATTCAACAGTCAAATAATTTAAAAGATAAAAAAACAAACCTAGGTATGTGGCCAGAACTGCTGCCAACTGTCTCCTTCACACTTGGGAGAGCCTGATCCTGGGATGGCAGTACAGGCATGTTCTGGTCAGTTGTAATGCCAGGAGCCTGTGCGTCGAGGCTCATATCAGTCGTGGGTACTGAACTACTGCTGTCATATCCTTGTTAACACTTCCAGGGCAAGTGCGACCTACAGTACACATGAAACAGCACATAATTAACCCTTGTGCTGTGCTGAAAATCCTTTATCTAATTTGGTGTTCCCAGTCCTGATTCCCACAACTTATGCACCTCAGTTTTTGAGTGGGAATATATATATATATATGAATGAAGAGCTCATTTGCAAAAACCCATAACTCCATTTTTTTTATTTTTTTTTCAGAAATCACGTTTTTTTTTATTGCGCATTCATAATGTTATGAATGAAACAAAGCTATCATACTTCTTTGACAGTTGCATTAACAAACATAATACCGCTGAGCAACGGCTCGACCAATCAGAGCCTGGAACGACTTCTTCTCTTTGCTTTTTTTTTTTTTTACAGTCTATGGCGAAAGGGGTTTCTAGCGCCTCTAAAGGAAAGATATGAAATTACAAGGGAACGAATTGATACTGACCTCCAACAAATTAGTAATCGTAATCCCAGGATGAATTATTATACAGATTATACACACGCGCGCGCGCGCGCGCACACACACACACACACACACACACACTGAATTTTTGCCCTGTGACAGTAATACTGTGCAACTTTCTTATTTTCAGTGAGCCCTCAAGAGTGCAGGTCATCGATGAAAAGAGGCTGCTTCGTGATACGTGCTCTATTGAATAGCATAATCAACTCAAATCACACTTGAACAGTGGTATTCAAACAAAAAAACAAAAACAAAAAACTCTACAAACCATACAATGGACCTAGTCAAAGAATACTGGTGTTTAGCGCACTTCATCTCAACGGTTGAGCCCTACTCAGTTGTATTATGTTTGCATAAGTGATGTTTCTGTATGAGTAAATTGGCTGCAAATTATCTGAGCACTATTCACATATTTACTGAAAAAAGATAGAGATATCTTCAAAGAGAAGCAGGAGTACAGAAAAAGTACTAACCCTCAAAAGTGTGTGGTTAATGCAGAAATGTAAACCACTCACAATCGTTTTCATTCATTCAAAGAAAGCTTAAATAAAATATAATTGGTTAAAAAAACTTAAAAAGTAGATATGATACATTGGCAACTTACTGAAATAAGAAATGCTAAACACTACAGCTAAAATGGAAATAAAATTTAGTTAAAGCTAAATAGAATGTAAAAAAAACTAATAAAATGATTAGACTTCAAAGGTGAAAATATAAGCTAATTATAAATATGAATACTATAATAGCATGCAAATAATACTACATAACTCTTAGTATATAAATAATACTAAAATATTCGGTAACACTTTACTTGAAGGGGTGTGTATAAGACTGACATACTTAATGACAGTTGTCATAAACATGCATAAACCCTCCTTCATATTCATGACATTTGTCATGTCATGATTATGAAGGTGTCATGTCAGTCTTATGCACACCACTTCAAGTAAAGTGTAACCAAATATTCGTAGCAAATGAGTAGACAGGACCCTTAAGTAGCTTTTTAGATCAAAATAGTACATTATAACATATGCATACACACACACACTTCTTTTCAAGAATATATCATTTTAATTATATGAGTACATTTGTCACAATAGTAAACAGAAAAAAGGAACTGAAAATACAACAAATGATATTCTTCAATCAGCATCAAAGCTACGCAATATAAAAATAAAAAAAGGAATCTAAATACAGTTGGCAGCTACTAATTACAAGCTCCTTGACCCTTCCCAGCAATCTTTTTTGAACACTCTAAGAGAGCATTATGAATGTCTTTAGCACATGAAATCTGTGATTTTATCATACTGAGATACTGAGAGTAAGACAGAGACTCTGTTTGCACTGTGTCCGGCTTCGTGGCTGTAGGTACGAGATTTGGAGAATGCTTTGTGCTGTCGATGCTCTGTGAGAGGCACTCATGGGCCAGCCGCTGAAGAAACAAAATGTCAATGTTAAATCAAAATCAAAAAATAACTTTGAATGACATTTTCAAAAGAAACACAGCAGTTACTTACCAGGCAGAGCTCCAGTTGATCACAGAGAGCATAAAACTCCTCTAAACTTTTGTCAAACCGCTGAACTGCTGCATCATTACCCTTCCTACATTTTGAGAAGTGAAATAATATTATTTCTTGGTTTATGCACCCATAAATCTTTCTATTGAATCTCATTTCTGCCACAGGATAAAAATAAATAAATAATTGTGACATTTTATCTCACAACTCAACAAAAAACTCTCTCAGAATTGTGAAAAATATGAATTGTGAGAAAAAAAAGTCACTATTACATTCGTATTTTTCATTCTGTGATGGAAATAAAAACAGAGATGTGAGAAAAACTCAGAATTCATATTCTTTCTTTTTGGTGAATTTTTATCCCTCAGAATTGCAAGAAAAAAGTCAGAATTGTGAAATTAAAAAGTCACAATTATCTTTTTTTATTTTTTATTCCGTGGCAAAAACAGGCTTCCATATATTTCAATATATGTATATTAATAGACAGAGAGAACAGACAATACATACAATATACATACATACACAGTGCTGGGAAGATTACTTACAAATTGTAGTCTGTTACTGATTCCAAATTACATGACACAAATTGTACGTAATCCATTACATTACACATTTTAGGTAATATAATCAGACTACATTTAGATTATTTTATCACATTGATTTAAATAGGTTAATATTGTTCCAAATTGAAATAAAAATACAAAGAATATGCATTCCATTCGTTGTTATTAACAGCATGAAGTGCATTAAACATTTGAATGCGTTTGAAAGACAAAAGCCTTCCAAAGACAAAGACTTGTGTGAATAATATGTAATCATGTAATCAATAAAAAAGTAACTGTAGTCTGATTACGAGTATTTTAAAATGTAATATAATCTAATTACAAGTATTACTTTTTGGAATCTGATTACTTAATCCTGATTACATGTAACATCAGTTACTACCCAGCACCGTACATACATATATGCGTGTGTGTATTGCATATTCATGTACCATGTAATTGACATAATAATCAGGGAATCTTACTCTGTTGTTCTTCCGTTGTCAATAGCTGCATTGTGTCCGAAATTTTGTGAAGCAATGGTCATGACGTTCTGAAAACATAAAATTGTAAATTAATATTAGTATTCTATTTCAAACAAGCACTTTCAGCTCTCACGATCAAGGGAAGGCACCAAACAAACCTGTAAACTATCTTTCAGCAGAGGAATCAGCATTTTGAATCTGTGAACGGGATCAAAATCTTGTTGTTGACTGAGCTGCTGCTGTTGTTGAGTTTGCGGTTGCTGTAAAATAGCCGCTTGCTGAACGCCCATCTGAGCACTGTTAGTGACCATCTGCTGCTGCGACGCCATTGTTGACATGGATGACATGGATGAGACAGTCGACCACTTCCGCTGGATATGAACATATCTAGCAAACGTTGCTAGCTAGTAACTGTTGAGACATACAAATGTCGTCTTCCTCCAGGGGGCGCTAGAAGACTCCGAGCCGAACGGGTCATCCTGACCAGCGCCGAGAAAAGTAGCAGGAAGCACGCTGGGCTACTTCATAAGTTACACTTAAATAATACACAGCGAAGAATATTAAAATGGAAAAAACAGTTGTTTAGATACATCGTACATAACCAAAACAAGCCGTAGTGTCTAAAATATTGATGGCAGTCAATTGAAACAGTTGACTTTAGATATATATATATAAAAAAAAAACATTTAAAGGGACTTTGGTTGAAACTAATAATGTTTGCAAGAGAAAATAATGTATTTCATTTATTCTTTGCATAAAATATCCCTCAATGTTGTCTCATAATCTTTGCATGCTGTCACGCGAACAACCGGTCTGTAACTAGTGGAGTCACCGTGGTTGAAATGAAAAGAAATGTCGCCATCTAGAGGAAAATCTGTGGCACTGCGAACTATTGTTATATATATAAAAAAAATAATGCAACTTTTTTTCCCCTGAGAATCGAGACATGAAATATGATGGATGCAATAACAAAAATCTTTGACGAGTTCACTATTATATAAGTTTATTATTTGAATCGAACCATATCGATGCAATGCAATACAATGATGCTTTGAGAGATGTACAAATCAACATTCCTCAAAAGCCTGATTTATCATATTTGATATTCATATTTAACATGATTAAAAAAACATGTATGGATAATCAAGTACACCTAAGTTCAGTCCATTAAGTGTTCATCTTAAAATAGTATTAACTAATACTACCAACGGTACTAACAATAACATAAAAGTTATTTTTACATTTACTTTATAAAAATCAGCAAAGAAAAAAAAAGAAAAGAAAAAAAAAAGATAAGTGAATCATAACCTTAAGATTACATTAATACTATATTTGATATACTTGCTAAAAAAAAAAAAAAGAACTATCAGATGGCAGATAAAAGTTTTGATTTTAGAGGCCTTAGAAATTTCCATATCATATTTGATATGGTAGGGTGGGTCAATACAGAATCAAAACTAGTTTGCACAAATTTGTAATTCAAGAGGTTAAATACCAGTAATAGTTATGGTTACAACATATATGTATAAAGCTATAAATCATGTAGAGTTATTTGTACCCAGAATTTTACCTAGAAAGTGTAGAGAAATGTCACCGAGGCATCTCTCTTTAAGTACACTTTTAAAAAGTGCACTTGTAATAATGCCAAATTAACGGTTTTAGCTTAAAATACATTTTTTTTTAAATCATTACGTTTTAATATATTTTATTTGACTTTAAAAAAAGTACACTTATTTCCATGTGTTGATGAACATAGGCTACCAGAGCGAATATATATGTAGGCTAGCTACTTGTATATAGGCCTTCTTGATTGTAATTTTAACTGCAGTGTGAAATCAGTTATTAGAAATGACACTAAAGCATATTTTAGTTTACCATAAATGCTTGTCATTACATTCCTCAGTACACTTTACCTTATTTGGGCTGTTATTTTAAAGACAACGGGAGTAATTATGAAATTACATATAAGCCTAGGCTAAAGGTGTCTTCTTAAGTTCAATTAATTGCATTTAATTTGAAGTTAAACAATAATATATTTTAATTTAATTGCAAATAACACGCAAGTGTCCAAAAACATCACATTCAATGTGCACACTTCTGTAATAGGTTAAGTACTCTTTTTAAAAGCATGTTAAAGTGTACTTTTTTTTTCAAGAGCCATATGTCTTTTTGTTTTTTATTTAATAACTACTGCCTTGAATAAGATCTTACACGTAACAGATGTTCACATATCGTCCAAAAGACGAAACAGTAACAAATACACAAATGAAAATGTTCAAAAGTTTACATA